ACTAGTAGACAGTCCATTCGGTATAAAATATATTCCTCCTCAGAGATTGCTGTCCTCAGAGAGCAGAAATGCTTAGATTGGACCATGCTTGAAGGAGACGCCTCACCTTTCCCACATTTCACCAGGCATTCCTATTTTCCCTTGAGGGCTTGTGGATCCATAAGTGAGGATTCTCTGGCTTATTTTGATTACAGGTAGATTTTCAGTCTGTTTGATTTAAGACCCCACTTAGGACACACGACCATTAAAGTATGTCTCCTGTAGGTTTGCTTCGTTTATAAGCATTTAAAAATAAATATTTTATCAAAATATATCTTAGAAACCTAGTTTAAAAAAAATACCAACCATATATTTTGCAAGATATGACCTGTCAAATACAACACTTACGTATGTGTGTGTCCAGCATGAGTCGATTGAATTAACTCCTCATTGGCCCTGGGGACCATCTATAACCATTGTGGTCCTGCTTTCCTATTTTGGATATTAAAGGAGGTCTGATTGGCCCTGATTGGATCATTGTAAAAGGGGCAAAGGATAACAGGAGTGAAAATTGGACTTGGCGTTATAACCTAGCCCTATGTGAGGTCACATTCACAGAAACACACACAGAAAGTGTAGTTTCCAGTAGGCAGCCCACCACTCCCAGTCACTCCCAGCAAACAGCATTCCTCATCTTAGACTTACACCTATATGTGTGGAGTAATTTAATAAATGGAAAAAACTGGGTTGATTGTCATTTCAGTACTTCACTTGTTCAAAAATTAATGGGTACTTGGTGCAGAAGCCAATGAGTATTCACTTTTAAAAACACTGTTAAAATAAAACGGACATAAAATGAACATGTATGAATTGACAAATGATGAGCATAAAGAAGCCAGAGAGAAGTAGCATATGTATCTGTCATTGGCTTTTTACTTTTCAATATTTCCTAGTTCAAAAAACGTCAACTGTAATAGATAGGAGACATAATGGTATTTAAACCGCAAGCGTACATTCATGGCTGAAATATATTCACTTCAATCTCTGTGTAATGTTTTCTTTAGATGGAGTATGAATGGTTACTTTGAGAGATAATTTATGTCAAATCTAACTGAAAACTAAAGAATCTGGTAATGTACTGTGCATGTATCAATCTACTTTATGAGAGTTTTTTTTAAGTATTCATTGTGTCTGATTAACTCAGGGAATTTCAGACATCAAATCTCTTCATCATAGCAATCTTTCTTTGTGCAGATCCTTGTTAGTACTTTGTCAGGCCCAAAACTAGAGGGCACAAAAGAAATGGTGCAGGGAATCACAGGGGTCGGATTTCTGCTCTGCCCTTCAGTCAAGACTGGCCATTACTTTGTACCCCCCCCCCCACTGTCGTGTGATGGCTGATCTTTCAAAGTCTACCTTTCCAGAGCTCAGTGGCAGGAGCCACGAGAGGCACCGGGGAAACTGAGCCTCTCTCAATGGAGAGCCGCTCCCTCCAGCTGGCCCAGACGGTTATTTATAACCCCAGAGATGTATCATTACAGCAGGAGACGCATTCAAATCCGCCTTTAACCTTTTTGCCATTGGCACATTTCACGCTTCATAAAAAGCTCAAAATTAGTAATCTCACATGCACACATAGTTCGTAAATGGCTCTACTTGGCAACAGTCAGTGGAATTTGCCATATCATTCGTTGATTTTTTTTTTTACCTTTCATTGTAAAGAGAGGGAACAGTCAGTACCATTGACGATCAGGCTTGGAATCAGGATTTAACTGCATTAAATATGTTTAGAGTCTGAAGGCTATCTTAGGGTAATTGATTGACTCAAAATGATGTGGCTATCCTGTTTCTTTCTTGGACTTTTTCCTGTCAACTGCTGTCATCTTACTAAAGGGCATTCGCCTGTAAAACAAACATTCCAGCTGCCTGAAAGGCCAGCAGCTCTGGCAGCCCCCATCTCTGAGGAAAACAGGGGGTGGCAAAAAAAAAAAAAAACAATTCTCGGGGGTTTAATACCTGTGCTTTTGTCTATCAGTGCATTTTTAAGTCTGGCTATCCACATTTTTCAAGCATGTTTTCCCAAACAAACAATGAAATAAACTGCAGATTCATACCCTACACAACATAAAGAGGAATACAGCAGCTGTCTTGTACCTTTCTCCACCCAACTGCTGCTTCCCCCACATTCCTAGGTTCAGACCTCCTTGGTTCAGACCTCCCATCCACTAATTCTACGCTATTTAAATGGTATCCAAGCAGCACTAACCATTAACCCGCTGCCCAGGTAACATCTGCCTCTATGCAGTCATGGCTATTTTCTCCACAGCTTTTCTGAGCTAGCAGAGACAAGAATGTGCACACTGTACGTCATTCTGGAGATATGCTAGTTCCGCCTTCTTGTGAAAAAGCGTGGATGCACGTTTTGGGCATGCGCATAAATAAATGAGACTGTGTCTGGCGCTGTGCACAGAAAAAAGCATTTGGGAATGTCAAACAACTCATCCCCTCCCCACTATTATCCAATTAGACCAGCCTTACTGCATGAAGCCTCAGGATGGGGCTTCGGTCACCATGGAAACTAGCTGTAGATATTCTCAAAGACATTGTTTTTGATACCTGTGTGCATCACATCAGTTGATGCTGCTGCTGCTGTGTGCTCAGATGTCTGCTACATCTCTCTTTTTTGACAAGCCTTCCAAAAATTAAAAAAAAATATATGAAACTTTCACCATCAAAGGCACAAAATACTGTATATGCAATGTCTACCATTTGTAACATGTAAAAATACATAAAGCCATTAGCAATATAAGTACATTTTAAAATATAAATGAAAAAAAATATACCTTTTATGGATAGCATAAGTTTGACACTTTAAACTCAAAATTGCATATACGGTAAAGTGCTTTGACACAATGGGCTTACAGGATGCGTTGTGATGAATGCAGATAAGCTCTGGTAGAGCTGGTAGCACTTTCCTGTGGGCTTTCACTGGATAGTCAGGGGTAGATGATGTGAAACCTGTTTGGTCGACGCTGCATTGGGAGGCACCATAACGTTCCATGTTTGGCCCTCGAAGCTGGCGATGACACCACACATCCTTCATAATGTCCCCTCCAAAGGAGATGGTGGCTGTGTCTGAATTCAGGGGCTGCGTCCTTCTAAGGCTGCATTCAAAGATCGAATGTGTCACAGCAGGGCCACAAGGCTGTCCCATTTCAAAGGCTTGAAGGTCTATAAGTGCGTCCTTCTTTTGCCAAGTTGCGAAGGATCCATCCAATGGATCCTTCACAGCCCAACATGTCCCAAGAATCAGTGACCAGAGGCAAAGTAGATGTGTCCCGGCTAGACATAGGAGCGGCGCTTTGTAAGTCAAGGGTTAGGGTGGGAACAGCTGGCGAGGGCCAGACCGTCCCATTTGACAATCCTCTCCGCTCGACCTTCGAAGGATGCAGGCCCTGAATTTGAATACAGCCAGTGAGACTGTTGGATGGCTCCTCATATGCTCCCACCCCAGCTGGACTGCATCTCATTGGTCAACGTGTCCACAGAACTAATGAATGACTTGGCTTTTCTGTTAACCTGTCCGTTGATCTCTCTTCCTCCAGTGCACCTGTGTTTATTTTGCTTCCCAGGGAATCTTGTAGCCTTCCTTGATCTCAAACTCTTGCCCAGCTTTGGACTAAGCATATACTATAGGTAGCTAAAGCAAATGAGCGCTGAGAATCATTTGTGCCGTAGTACATGGGAGCCTCCACCTACTCTGCCACTAGTTCCATATAAACAGAAATAATAATTAAAAAAAACTCTTTGGCTCTTCACATTATAAAAAGGACAGAGGGAGTGAGATCTACAACCATTTATACACACTGTGACACCACAGCAGAAAAATACCTCATTCTATTGTAAACACTCACTAGTAATTGTGATTTTTAGATGCACATATGCATGAAATAAAAATGTAGTTGTTGAAACCCCTTTTTCAGATTTTTTTTCTATTTCCCCTTTTCTAAATTCCTCTCCATCCACAAAAAAATAACTGATAAAATACTGGATGATTTATGTGTTTCTCATAATTATGGACAATATGCCAATCCAGTCCCAAATACTCTATGCAGATGAGCTTGTAGTTTCCTTACAGATGTGTGCTACATGTTTGTTGAGTTTGACTGGGTGCTTTGACATGAAGCGTAGTCATGAACAGGATGGAGTGGCTCCAGTTTGTTAGAAACTGAGTATACAAATTTGACATACTATTCTTCCTGATTTTGATTTGTAACAGTGATTATTTCTTTTGATTTCACTCAAAAACAAAAACTGCAGGTTTGTAAACTTGTAGATTCCTTTCAGAAGTGTAGAGCTGATGAATTTTTCACAAGCTGAGATTTGTCAATGTTCAGAAAAAGCTTGTTTGTGACAGACAGCATTTCAGAGACTGTATTTCTCCAGTAATGCCCCAAAGTCTCCACTGTCCAATGTGTTGAAGAATGTTGACTGATACATCCTTACAAACGAAATATGTAGGCAAAAGAATTTCAAAATTGACACAATTTGTATGTACCTTTTACATTGTGTATATGTATATACTCATACATGTGTTCATCTCAAGTATACACACAGACACATAAAGTAGACAAGGCAGGTTTGCATATACCTAAGGCTGGTTTTGGGTTGGACAAACACTAGGAAGTAAACAGCAAATTGCTCATATGTTTTTCAAAGCTCCCTAATCTATAATATGTGATGAGACCAGTTTACCGTATGTGATGGGACTAGACAAGCTGGATGAGCTGGATCAGACTAAATGGGTCCCCTATTTCCACGAGCTTGTAGCTGTGTTCTCTGCTCCTTTTGTACCCCATCATTCCCTGGTTTCAGCTGAGTGACCCACAACCTCCTGGATAGGACCCTACTATTACCCTGGACAGCACATGCTGTGTAACCCTGTTCCCTGGAGAAACTGTTACTGATGGGGAAAGGAGGTGGTGGTGGTGGGGGGGGGGGGGGGGGGGGGGGTGGCACAGAATTGAGGGAGGGTTCCTCTCCATTAGCCTCTATAAGCTTATCATGTTGGGCACAGGCTTCAGCAACACCCACCTTTGCCAAGAGCCAGCATACTTTTTAATGAGCTATTCCCATTAATGTTACTGGCATGGATTAAAGTTTGTCAAGTCACACAGTAAAGCCCCTGGCAGCTTTCAAAATTTTGTATTTTTTAGCCACATTACTGGTCAGCTTTCCCATGTGTTTCCACTCCATCTTCAGTTCACTTCCTTGTACTCAAATGCTTTCATCACATTTGTTAACTCGATTCCGCAGCCCTTGAGCTGTACGCACATCCTGGGTCACATGGTTCTCCTGCCCAATTACAGACCGACTTTCTATGGGAAACATACAGTTCTGGCCCATAATCCTCTGTGAAGTTTCCAAGTGGTTGGTCCCTTGCTGGAAGCTGCTATTAATACTGAACTTTGGACTTTTTTTGTCCAGCAGCCGCATAGAGGGACTGGAGTCAGAGCCATCCTGCAAGTGGTCGTCATCATCAGTGTCAGCATCGATATATTTACTGATGGATGTGTCATGAAATGTGAAGATTGCAGGTGTCATGCTCAGGCTTTCAGGAGATTTAGGTGGAGTCTTGCTACTGGCTGTGTTATAGATGGATACCTCTGGGCTTACAATGGAGCGATCTGATAGGATTGAACTGTCTGATAGAGGAGCACCTCCCATTTGCATGGAAGAGGAAGAGGTGCCTGCCTCTCCTCGTCGGAGGGTGACCTTGAAGGAATGTGCCTTGAGAGGGTTATTTAAGCGGTAACCATGGGGGCTGTCCAAGAAGAATCCATGCCTGGAACTTTCTGGATTTGTGGCAATCTCTAGGATGGAGCTACACCCAGGAGGCTTGCTGACACTGTGAGTTGAAAGCACAGGCTCATGTTCGAGGGAGGTCTGCATTCCGGGGTTGGCCCAAAACTGTGCTGGCAGGTTGACAATAGGACTGTGTGAGAAGCGAGTGCTTTCTGGGAAGTCAGTGGCACAGCTGATGTAACTGTCAATGCTCGACTGGCTTTTCATGTCTATGATTCCGTCTCGTGTGGCATTGCCAGGGATGCTATCCATCTCAATTTCCTCCCTCTGCCTGCTGCCCTTTGCTATTGACCCTCTATCTTTGGTGTTGAGGTTAGGCTGAGATTGGGTCTTGGCCATCTTGTGGTACATTTCCTCCAGCTTCTGCACATTCAGGTGCTGTGGGCTAGAGGACCTGACATTAGCTGGAGAACCATGCTCACTCACATTGAAGGATCTATTAGAATCTGTTTCTAAAGCTGCGTGCTTTGGTGTCCACTTCCATTGGTTGGGTGAGAGGTGGTTGTCCTGAAGCTTCTCCTTCCTAGTCATATTCTCTCCATTCTTTTCTATGACTACATCCATAAGTTCAACACTACGAGCAAAGGCATCCTTCATGTTCATTGACACAATGCTGCCATTTCTCTTAGCTCTTTCCAGGGCTTCCCTCCTTTTGATAGCTTTCTCTTGCCTCTTCTGCTCTTTATAGAATTCAGAGAAGTTGTTGACAATAATAGGGATGGGCAGGGCAATCACCAGTACTCCAGCAATGCAACATAGCCCTCCCACAATTTTTCCCAAGAGTGTCTTTGGGTAGATGTCTCCATAGCCCACTGTGGTCATGGTGATCGTGGCCCACCAAAAGGAGGCAGGGATGCTTTTGAACTTTGTGTCATCCTCATCCTTCTCTGCAAAGAAGACCAAGCTAGAGAAGATCATAATACCCATAGCTAAGAAGAGGATAAGCAAGCCCAGCTCGTTGTAGCTGCGACGTAAAGTGAAGCCCAGTGACTGGAGGCCAGTGGAGTGTCGTGCCAGTTTCAAGATGCGCAGGATGCGCATGATGCGGAAGATTTGCACCACGCGGCGTACGTTCTGAAACTGCAGCACGCTCTTATTAGACTCGGTAAGAAAGATGGTGACGTAGTAGGGCAGGATGGCCAGTAGATCGATGACATTCAGGGGCCCTTTAAAAAACTTCCACTTGTTAGGCGAAGACAGGAAGCGCAGCAGGTACTCCATAGTGAACCAGGCGATGCAGACCGCCTCCACGTGAGCTAACTGGGGGTTATCCGTCGTCTGGCCAAATTCGTCAGTGTCCTGCAGCTCTGGCAGTGTGTTGAGGGACAGCGCAATGGTGGACAACACAATGAACAAGATGGATATTATGGCCAAGATCTGAAAAACAAGAGCATACACCGAGGGTAAGATATCTCTGTCACCATAAGTACAGAACATTCTACAGAGAGCCCTGGAAAACATACAGAAATGAACAAAGAATTACCAACATTCATTGACCCTTCTAGACACATATACAGCTATAAACTGACAATGAAAAGTAAATACTTTTGAATAACGTTCATGAATGTGATCAAAGGTGTGATTCATGTGGTATTTCCTTCACTGACTGATGTTAAATATGGAGTATATTAATGAAATCTTCCAGCATCAGTTATATGGCAGATGGGTGGAAATTATTTATTTATAACACGCTTTTCGGACTACAGTAGCTTCCTGCATGGTAATATCAAAGGGAATGCCAGTGCTAAAGTGGCAGAGTACTTAAACATGACATTTAATACAAGAAAGGTCAAACATTAATCTGAAACAACAGAAAGATCAAAAAAAGGCAGGACTTTCACTGATTTAAAGGGGTAAAATTGACAGATAACCTTAATCTGAAAAATGAAGACTGGATTGCAGTATAATATCAAATGAAAAAATAAGAACCAATAAAACAAAGACCCCATTCTATACTTCTGGATAGACAGTATGAGACTGTAGACATGCAGGTATCCACCAAAGTCCAGTGGAGGTGTTTAGCAGTCCAGTGGAGGTGTTTAGCAGTCCAGTGGAGGTGTTTAGCAGTCCAGTGGAGGTGTTTAGCACCACACTGATGAACAAAATCAAAATCTCCCCACGTGTAGCTGTGGAGCCAACCATGAGGAAGGCAGGCAAAGACACAGCTGATTTCTCTCCATTGCTAGACAGCCCTGAGGACCACCATCCAAACTGAACCAATTGTCTGCAACCATAGAAAAAACCAACGACTGTCTTGCAGAGCACAGCCATCAGTGGTTGCATGCAAACCTTCGCTTGCCTTCACCACACCCAGACCCGACCCATCTAAGCCTTTCTCCTGCAGTCCAGACTCTGTGTATTATTATGCCCACCGTGACAAGTATCTGTTCATGTCACATACAACCCAGTATCCTGACGATCAGGAATTCATTTAATTTCTCAACTAGTTGGTGAAAAAATATAATATGAAACAATAAGAGGAAATGTGTATTCATTGCTTTTCCACTGACACTCACCTATGCGAGAGTCATGATGGCCATGATTTCTGTTCCAAAAAGATTAGTGCAGAAGGCAGGGCACACTCTAAATGAAATGTAGGGCATTCTACACATTACAAGCCATCCATCCACTCATCTTCAAACCACTTTTCTGGGTGATGACCACAGTGGCACCATACCGAGCAGGTCAGACTTGACCTTTCTTTCCAAGGCCGCAGATTCTAGCTCCTTCTAGGGTATCCCCAGGAATCCCTTAGCCAGCTGGATGGTATAATCCTTCTAGTATAGGGGTAGGGAACCTGATCCATGGAGAACTGGTGTAGGTGCAGGTTTTTGGGATGACCTCTCAATCAGCCAGTACGGTCCCCAGAACTGGAGTTGAGAACTACTGCTTTATTATGGTCTGATTGGGAGGTCATACCAAAAACCCACATCCACACCGGCTCTCCATGGATCAGGTCCCCTACCTCTGCTATAGTGTGTCCTGTGTCTGTCCTTGGGCCTTCACTAAATGGGACATGTCCAGAACAGGTCGCTTGGAGTAAACTCTGTGGCAGCCTTATAAAATGCCCAACTCAACAAAGGAGCAGAATCAGGCTCAAGATGGTTCTTGTCATAGAGTGCCTGATGATTTTTTCATGCACAACACCGGGCTTGGCTCAGCCCAATATTTCATTGAAGCACCCACAACGTCAGCAAATTTATATTACCACAAATCACATTTTATAATAAGAAAAAAAATGATATTAGGCAAATGGTAATAAGCCAAACATGAAATCTAATCAACAATATTTCTACAATGTTTAAGCAAAATTGCATTTGTCCTATGGCAAGAGAACATTGCAAGTTAATGGTTGCATCAGTGTAGCTCTGAGATCCATTCTGTATTAGGAGAAAAACTGACAGCAGGCTCTGCCAGACAATGCATCACACAGGTGTCTGAGGTGTTCCTCTGGTTTGGTTTGTTATTGTGCTGCACAGAGCTGGGATGTGTGAATGTTCCTGTGTGGGGTGTGGAGGTGTTAATGACGAGATGTATGCTTGTCTTCTATCCAATACATTTTTTTGCATCCTCTTGTCTTTCTTTTTGTTGTGTTTTTTACTACACAGCGATTGGAAAATATTACATCTGTTTCCAAGCACAGTTTATCATAAAGATGCCATTCACAATCTCTGACCATTCATACAACATGGAGATACTTTACATTTCTCCACAAAAGGGCTCCGGTGATATTGTGTTATATATTCTAAACAAAAGTATGGCCAACGCATGGTAATACTGTTTACTCAATGTAATAGCACCACAGTAAATAGACAAAACACCGAAATGGCAATGTTCTCCAATGTATGACACATAGTATACACAGAGTAAAGATACTATCTGTTGCCCGTACACAGAGGAGAAACTACAACATGGAGATGAGGCACGTCATCAGAATGTAATTGTAGTGTAGTTGTAGTGGTGAACAGACCACATTTTCAGTGGTGATACTTGAGGCTCCCTAAGTACCGATTCTCATTAATCCAGTGCAAGGTCACAGAGGATCTACAGTCTCTGGCCATTTGACCATGGGACTATTCCACTGACTAGGTATTCATTAGCAATAATTACTCCAGGCAGTACTATTAAAGACCTGCTATGGCCTATAAAACACAAGCGAGTTGAAACACACAGCAAAATTATTCAAATGGAAAACAAACTTTAACTTTGCAATAACTAGATATAATACTTAATTTGTTGCAGGTTATTACTAAAAAAATCTCAAAATAATATAGACACATCTGAATATATTACTAAGTTTCCTCTTCTACTTCCACTATTTGGGCTTTATTATGTAGCATACATATTCTAGAATATTGCACAATGTTTCTTCAACCAATACACCTTTACAAAGCTTTTTCATCAAAAACCAGTGACATGACAGCAGCATTACAGAAGCCATATAGATCATTTTAAATAAAAATCTTGCAGTGAACAATTACTGAAGCATCACACTGTACTTAATAATAGCATATCTGGAAAATTATCACATGGAAAGAAAATATTCTGTTTATCTCAGTTTTGCTTGTAATTACTAGTAGCCCATTAGGAAAATCATGCGACCAGCATGTCAAAAATGCAGCTTGACACACCAACGGGACTTAGCTGATGTTTCTGAATTGCATCAAATGGAAACAAGCAGTGTTTTTACCCACTAAAACAATTTGAAGTGCAACACATCTATCCTTCTGTTCTGGGTTTTTCCAATTTCCAACCAAGGTATATACCTACGAATGAGTAACTGTTAACCTCTAAGGTTATTATAAAGGCCCTAGTTATACCTAATATTTCATAATTATTGGGAGCATACCACACATTAGCACCTTAATACCCGCACTCTTAATTCTGCTGAGCTGCACCACATTAAACCAGGTACACAGTCACACTCACGTACAAGGGCTGTGAATTGCTAGGTGAAACAGATCCTCCTACAGAGGTACTCCTGCCTTTCACACATCAATCAATCCCGAGCTAGAGCAGACAGGTCTGCTGCTGGAGATACACGCCTAAACTTCATCGGTGCATGGCAGGGTCATGCTTGTCCGATATGCAGCTTTCCACGACATTACATCATGACACAAACCCCCTCCAGATCTCCACTTCAGAACACCAGCCTCAAATATTCTTGGGTTGAGCCACATGGCTGTGTATTAAATGACAACAGTTCCTCACACCGCAGTGGTAGCAGTTATTAGCAGGACTGGAGCTGTGAAGTCTTTTAGCACGCTTTCGGACTGTTTGCACTGCTTCTCCAAGGTGTCCCCGCTATCTCTGCAATTAGACCAGCGACTAGACCCTCTCCTGTCAGGGGCCACCTGAATATTTAAAATCTTGCCCAGGAGCCTTGAGCATAAATAGAATGAATGGTGAAGGAACTGGCAGTATGATGGGTAATTCTGCCTCTCTCTTCGCCTTTGCAAGGTCAAGTGTGCTGAGGGTCAAATCTTTCAAATTTGAGCTGACAGAAGGTGAAGCCCAGCCAACCAGGCGCCTTTATCCGACTCTTATCAGGGGGGCACTCAGTTACTATACAGACCAGTCAGAAGTGAGTAATAACCCAATCTGTTTACCTGTCTCTTTAGTGAGTTTTACTATAGGCCTGGGTTGGAAGCTCATGCATTGATTAGTGAGGCATACTTGACGCTTTAGAGAACATAGCAGGCATTGATGCAGGGCTGGCGACTAAACCTTTCTATAGACAAGCCAATAAAAACTGAGGTGAATCTTGAGACTGGGCCTATTCACTTGAGTGTCACCACAAAGACACAGGGGCTGGATTTAGTATAGCTCTCAGGAGAAAGGGAAGGAATCTATCTTAAGTGGCTCGTTGGGCAGGTACATAGACAAGAATGACAGCTCAGTGTGTGAATACATAACAAGTACAATAAGCTGCTCAGAGCACAGAGTAAGAGCAGAAATTCGACCCAAGAAGCATGACCTTCACCAGCAGACTGAGGACACCAAAGCATAAATGTAATAGGGCTGCTTGATAATATTGTGGTAGGAAGTCACCCTATGGTCAATCTGATGCTCTTCTTTGTAGTCCTGATTGGAGACAGAATTCCCCCTGCCCTTTCATACCAAAAGAAGAAGAATTTAAACCAAGACCAAGGAGAGAGAAGTTTTTAAAATCTTATTTCTTCCATCAGTTCCGATATTTCCCAATAAAGATATTTTATTTTCCTTTGTTTCCTACCATAATTTTCTAAGTCATCAAGATAAGATAAAATTAGATAAGACCTGTACTTTGTTGATCCAAGGGGGGAAATTGGGTCGCATGCCGCAGCAAGGAATCCAAAACCCATGCAAACAAAGATAAAATACAAAAACAGTGCAGA